GTTGCGAGGCACAGTCTCACTTGCTGTGGCTCACCTAGGGGAAACCCTCCTCTGCCTGCGGTCCTGGCAGGCTTGGCCCCGTCCTTGTGTCCGCGGCTCATGGACTCTCCGGTGCAGGTCTTTCTCGGGAGCCGGATCGTTTCCCTGGCTTGCTGAGTCAAGAGAAGGGTTTAAGGGCAAGTCAGCACCTGTGGATGTCAGCCTGGAGCCCTGCGTGCAGTTACTTGAGGTTAAAAAGTTGGGTCAAAATCTTAGCACGTTTGCACAAGTCCTCAGCCCTGTAGTGAAGGTGAGGGTTTGGACATAGCAGTTCACAGAATCACAGCATCGTTACGGTTGGAAAAGACCCGTAAGATCATAAAGTCCAACCGTTATCTAACTACTGTGCCCCCTTCTAAACCATGTCCCTGAGCACCATATCTAAATGGCTTTTAAATACATCCCAGGATGGTGATTCCACCACTTCCCTGGGCAGCCTGTGCTAGTCTTTGATAACCCTTTCAGCGTAGAAGTTTTTCCTAATGTCTAACCTAAACCTCCCCTGGCATATCTTGACACCCTCTCCTCTTGTCCTATTGGTTGTAACTTGTGCGAGAAGACCCACACCCACCTCTCTACATCCTCCTTTCAGGTAGTTGTAGAGAGCAATAAGGTCTTCCCTCAGCCTTTTCTTCAGACTTAACAACCCTAAGTCCCTCAGCAGCTCCTCACAAGACTTACCCTTAATATACTTCACCAACTTTGTTGCCGTTCTATGGGCCCTCTCCAGCTCCTCGGTGTCTTTCTTGCACTGTGGTGCCCAAAACAAACTGTACTTGAGTACAAACAGTACTCAAGTACTCAAGGTGCAGCGTATCCAGTGCCGAGTACAGTGGATCAATCACCGCTCTAGTCCTGCTGGCTATACTGTTCCTGATGAAAGCCAGCATGCCATTGGCTTTCTTGGCCACCTGGGCACACTGCTGGCTCATGTTCAGCCTGCAGGACTCAAAGATTTGTGGCAGATCATGCTGATACATTGCTGAATATCTGTTTTGCAAGGCGGGGGGAGTGGGGGTGGGGGGT